TTCCCTATACCCTCACCTCTCCTTACATGGAAAAAAAACCAAACAAATTTTTGGTAAACACCTGGGGCACTTGTTAAAGGAAACATATGAATTCAAACATTACTGAATGTCACACAAATGAAATTAACCATTATCAGTTCATTACCTGACCATGGATGATTGAACAATGATAATCTCAACATGACCATCCTTTTTCTTTGATCCCTTGTCCCTTTTGTCTGACTGAATTCTGATTTCATAGTTGTAAAGAGCTGCAGAAGGCCAGTTATACACTGGCTTCTCTTTGGGAGATGATAACTTTGGGGAAGTTCCTTGAGAAGTCTTTTTATCTCCTTTATTGTTGTCATCATCAATAATGACAATTTCACCCTCAAAACTTTTTGTTTTACCAGTATTTGGTGTTTTGGGTTTTGGTGACTCTGTTGCAGTTCCCTCAAAAGATTGCTTGCTCCTTGGAGAAGTGAGCTTCTCCTCCCTGCCTTTCTTTGAGGAGGGTGTAGATGCCTTTTTTGTAGCCTTATCACTTATAGCTTTGCCAGATGACATGCTTTTTCCCTCAGATGAAAGCTTTCTAGATTTGCTAGGAGTCTTTTGACCTGAACTTTCTTCACTAAGTTTCTGTGATTTATGTTTTGATGGAGATTCCTCATCAATGCTCCTCCTTGGTGATTTCACAGTTGGAGATTTAGTAGACTTGCCCTCTGAATTGTACTTTTTAGATTGGGTAGATAAAGGCTGGCTGTCTGAGCTACTAGAACTACTTTTCCTTTCTTTAGAAGGTGTTCGATCAGAACTGCTGTTACGATACTTAGATGTAGGAGACTGTGAAGCTCCTCCAGATTGGCTTTGCTTTCTTGATTTTGGAGAGAGAAGTTTCCCTGGCTTTGATCCATGACTTGGAGAGCTTTGATATTTAGTTGCCTGGCTTGTTTGCTCATAAGGGGAAATAACCCTGGTTATAATGCCTCTCTTCCTAATAAAGAAAATACAAAACAAAGATGTCCATCTTAACCCTTTACACCCTAACATCAGTATTCATATTCTCCATACTGTTCTCTGTACATTTACCATGGTGCTGACAAGGAGAATTTTTCTAACAATCAAGAGTTTCCTTAATTGGTGATTATTTCCTTTATTCTCATGACCTTTATTTTTTTGATTGAGTGGTCATATTGTAAAGAGGAATTAGATGGTAGTCACTCTTAGGGCTCAGAGGGTTAACCAATCAATTTGAGTTCCTATTTCAGCAAGTAAGCAGAGATTAACCCCTACACCTTTAGAAGACAGTGATCAACATATACTGTAAAAACCCGCAGATAAGCCACACACTGAATTTACAGCTCAAATTTTGGAAAAAAAGTTTTTTGAAAGAAATCAAAAGAAATCCAAAGTTGAGTCTTGAGAAGTCTTCTTCATCCACTGTTCATCGAACATAAACTCACTATTAACATTGCAATGGAAAATACTTCAGTCTCACCCACAATTTTAGCACTTTTAGCACTAATGAATATTGTTTCTACCAACTTTGACATACGACCAATCTTTTTCTGGTATATATTGACATGAATTTCTTCATTCAACACAGTTTTTCCATAGATTTTTGCATTACAACAAGAATGTGAGTGGAACATTCAAAGCTTGGTAACCAGGCATTAGATCGGATGCAAAAATGGAAATGTTCCCGCAGATAAGCCACACCCCCAATTTCTAGCAATGATTTTTGGAAAAAAGGTGCAGCTTATCTGTGGGTTCTTACAGTAACCTCTCCTAAAAGCACCCACAAACAGTCAAGTTAATTAACAGACAGGACAAACAGACTTGACATCTAGAAGATAGTGTTTCCAGCCAGCACTAAAATCTCAGCAATAACATACAAGGAAGTGCACATAATTGGTACTCAAGACAGGGAAGTGTGATTAGATCTCAAGAGGGTGAGATCATTAAGAACTCAACTCTCAGACTGTTACATACTTATACACTAATATGTGTACATTTAAGGGCAGTAACCAAAGTAAAGTAGAGCACTGTTCATGAAATTGCTGATCAGCCACAAAATACTTTTGATACCAGGCTGATCAAGTCCATGAGGTTTTTAATCTCTAAGGATCCTCCTTCTGATAAGTGCCCCTCCCTCCTGCCTAAATTTTAAAAAAGGGCCCAGGCATTTATCTCAGGAAATACTGTAATTAAAAATCTCAAAACAACTGAAAATTAAAGATAATCAACATAATTAGATATTGCCATTTTTTTATGGCAACCTGTTTGCAGAAATTTTCCATTCTCAGCAGCAAAACATATTTCGTTAACCCTTTAACTCCCATAAGTGACTAAGAATTTCTCCTTATGATATCAATACCATATCAAGCAGAAAAGTCATGAGAATTAAGAAAAAATATCAGGTAGAGAATTATTAGTTGATTCAACACCAAATTCTCAAAACTAACATCACAAGAACTGTATGGCAGACAGTAAGGAGGATTTCTAATGAATCTTGGGAGTTAACCAGCTTTAAGTGAATAAAAATGAGCAACAGAAAACTGAAAGACCAAATCTTATAAATAGATCAAGTAATCATTGACTTCTGCTTGTATTATGCTTAATTTGAAGTCAACAAACATCAATTTAAGCAACTTCCACAAAGAAAACAATTTCAAACAGTGTTCCAAAAAACAGAGCAGTGTGATTGAAAAATATAACCAGAAAGCCATAAGGACAAGGTCTCATTGAAAAACAGAGGACAGCTTAAACAAACAAAAAATACCCAAATCGAACAAATCAACAATAGAGACACACAAAATTTTCTTCAGTTTTCATGACACAAAAAAATAATTCAAAAGGCCAAAAACACAATTAGAGAATGGTCATTTCAAAACATAAAAGATTTGATTAGGTCATAATTTTATTGCTTTTCTTTAATCTGTTTCTTTTACCTGCATTTCAAAAAAAATAAAAAGGATTTCAGTATCTAGAGAGACAAGGAAATATTCAGTGAACAATCCTCTAGGTTAAAAAAATCAAAATGCCATGATAAATTTGAATCTTTTCCTAACATCTTAAGTCTCATTGGTAATCCTCACTTAAAGAACATACATAAATTTCTCAAGTGTTGAAAGTATCATTAAAATATAATATTATCATTAAACACATTACTAGTAGCTAAATTTATAAAAATAATTATGTTAACCCATTTAAGTTATGGATAATAATAATTTATTAATAAAATAAATATTTAACTTTTTATTATTAATCTATACTACAAGAAATATCAGAACACCTATGGCAGCCCCAATTATATTATTGAAAAAATTTACTCCTTCATGCATAATAACTAAGCTCAACTAATTGCCAAATAACATCTAAATATTTGAGTTGACAATGTTGCAAAATTCTATTAAAAGTTGAAAAAGTGTAAAAGTTACAAAATAAAAGATACTTTATGACAGCTGTCACTCAAAAAAGTTAATCACATCTCCAAATGTCGAAAAACTCAATAAGCTAAAATTCAGCATAAACAAAAACCAAGGTACTTCAGGGCCTGACTACTAAAACAAAATGGCTGCCTTCCTTAAGTTAAGTAAAAATTTCTCTAAATTTCCTTGAGACAAGAACTGGAAAAAATTAACCCCCCCAAACCCCACCCCTGCACAGTTTAAGAGACCCAGAATTATCTGATGAGGAAAAAGAAGAGAACTGTTGAAAGAAAGGTGATATTATAGTTAGATCAGTATTGTCTATGACGAAGACGCCCGCTGGATGGCATGTGACGCTTCGTACCTTACGACGGTTTGGTGCGATCACCATAAGCAATGCCATGCAAAATTCTGCCCCACACCCCCTAAATGTGATCCCATTTTCTAAAAAGCACCCTTCAAAAAGAAATAAACATACTTACTTGCTCGAGAGGTAGTGTATATCAACTTCTTCGCCTTCCTGGTAGCGATCTTTCAGATAGGAAAACACTTCATCGCATAAATTAGCTAAACGACCACGTTGAGTGTGGTGGACCAGAGTCAGCGCCGCTCGCTGGATGGGCTCTGGGAGGCTATGGGCTTGTTTTCTAATCGACCTTTCCGACTCAAGCGCCTCTTGGTAGGTTAATCCACTCTTGCCAGTATATTTACAGCTCCAAAGTAGGCTGCTGCACAAAATTGTCCGCTCGAAAAATGACCTGAAACGGAAAAATGGCGGTGTCTTTCAACAGTACATGAAACCGTGAACGTCAAAATAAATGCGAGTACACCGGATATAGAAATACTACAAGAAGGATCACAATTTACCTATAATCCCGAAAAATTTCATTTGTATAGCGACAAACAAAGACTTCCTCGTCAGGTTTCAGATCTGAAGGTAGTTTTGTTGGTGAAAACGGTTTTCTGTTTAGCAGAGGCATGGAGCTGCCAAACTAAAGAGTACGGTGGTCGATCGCGAAACTCTCCCAACGCGCGCGTAAACTGGCCACGACTTCTTGTGAGTAGAGATCCAAGACCTTGGATGAATTATCTTAAGAAGACCCCGAGCCAAGCTGTAATGGCTTGAAGAAAGAGCCAAAATATTAGGAGCAAACGAGAGAATTCCACGCTGCTTACCCAGCTCGTGTGCTCGTAGGGACCCTACAATGCCGTGATGTTTCAATAGACTTCCTCCAATACCATCTAGTCCACGAGAGCTGAGATGCCCATTTCGGAGGCCATTTATTCCAAATATACCGGGTTGAATTTCGTAAAAATTCGCCAGACTAAACTACCTTTAGTACTCAGCAAGATCCTAAGTTCAGAAATGGATATATTTCTTTACTGTAGCGAGATTTCGCCGTGAAAATCACTGAAAAATTTTTGAGGCTCTCTTAAGCACATTTGAGTTTTGCGGGTCTAATGGGCCGGCTTTTATTGTAAATATCACATTTGATTGGATGAAAAGGCAATGATTGACATTCTTGCCTGTTTTAGCAAGCCATATTTGGTGGAGATTGCGTGATCTCGGTCAGCGGCTTTCATAAATAACATACTATTTTCAATGCTTCGACAAGGCAGCCAACTTCAACCTTTTCTAAACATAGGAGGAATTGCAAGGTACTTTTGCTTCATCTCCTTTAGTTTTTTATTTCTCTGAACGTGTAAATAATCTTTCTGGTCCTTTTCTAGCGGACATTGTCGGTTACCTTTGTAATTTCACCTGAGTTCAACTTGATTTCATGTAATGTACAACTTGTCAAAACAAGAAATTACGTAAAAATTAAACATATGTTTAAATTTGATTCTCTAATTTCTTTCGAGAAATAAAGGAAAGAAAACATATTTTAAGAAAGATAAACGGTAGATCATCAGAAGGATGTGTTCAAGTGGGTTTATCACTTTGCTTTTATTTTCATCGTTTGATTCCAAACAATACCAAGGAATTAAATTAATTATAGGCTATCACGAGAAACTATGTATGTAGTTTTACTATTAGGGTCAGGGTGAAATTTTTTACTGTTTCTATTTTTTAACATACCTCAGTGGTTTTTTATAATTAAATGAAACATCTGACTTCTTGCCCACACCCACCATAATTAATTTAACACAGGACACATAATACTTTATACTTGTGTTACTTGACATGGTAAGCTCAGTGCCTTCTCGTGGACCCTAGCACACATGAAAATGTCATTACAGCTGAATTCTTTTTCAATAAAGAATTGGTTCAGGCTTACCGTGGGTATATCGAGTCATGGATGTTTGTGGGAGGTTTGGAGAGAGGTGTTGAAGTTGCTTAAGGTGCAGCAGAGAGCAACTCTAGCTTCTTGATCTTCATGAATGTGCATCTGATATATGAACCGATTGTTATATGACATTATCAACACAGTAATTTGGATGTTGTTTTCTTAAAATTTAAGGTTAATATCAACAAAATAGGGTGCCTTATGGAAAATTTGTCATATTTTGTCTTTTAAAGGAACCATAGAAAACTAACTAATATATAGATTTAGCATGCCTAAAAGTGGAGCTTTTTTTTTTTTTCCTGCACGTCTCAAGGGCACAACACCTTGCCCCTGCCAGGACTAGAACCCGGTTCGTCTGACTTGGAGCCCAGTGCACTGACCACTGGACTACTGAACAAAGCCATGGCGTTGGCATGCCCACAGTGCAGTTGACCACACATGTTAAAAGTAGCACCTTGTATGGTCATACGGTCGTACATCCAAATTTTTTCGGCTTGATGGGTTACTACTATTTTTTATAATTATGGGGCTATGCTCTGTGAGCTCTGCTTTTACTGTAAAGCTTATTTAGTATAGAGTAAGGAAAAAAATTTTCACAGTTTTTGTTTTGATGAGTGCTCAAGCCTTTAATCACAAAACTGACAGTGTTGTGTTACTGAATTTGTAGCCTACATGTTACTGTGGACCTCCAAACAAACTGTATTGTATCACTCAGCAAATAAGAGGCTAACAAAATATTGGAGGCTTTTTTAATACTCCAATTGGTTCCTGAGAAAATTGTTTTGAATTTGGATGATAGAAAATATTTTGGTGGTTGTCACGCCCCAGGACATCACAAGAGAAATATTCTAAATTTTATAAATGCCTCACATAGTTTGGTGCTTTTATATCCGAAAAATATTCTGGCCAATATTTATGAAAATCCAACAACTCTAAATACCCTATTAATTAATTTAAGTATAGATAACCCACAAAAAAAAAACAAACCTTGAGTTTTTGGCCTTCAAAGAAATTTCCAGATTTTTACACCTAGTTTAAGGAGGTTTAAATGCTCTCATACCACCAACAAATGAAATGCACCATTGAACCCTCCTGACAAAGAACTCCTTTGAAATTTGCCAGAAAGGTCTTATAGCAAAATGAGGAAAACAAATTTTCTGGGGATCAAACTAAATCCAAAATGTATGGGAAAAACTGAAGGAAAAGTAGGAAAAGCAAGCTAGGGAAAAAGAAAAACTTAACTTTGAAAACTTTTATTTCTTAGTGTTGTGTGAAATGCGCAAGAAATTCTCTTCTTTTTTTGTGTGGTGCAAGATGCAATGTTTAAAAAAAAAATGCAAATCAAGATGCCCGATAAAAGCCTGCTAAAAACTTCAACACTCTGCTGGAGCCCTTTTCAAATTTTGACCCCTTTTGCTCCTCACTACAACTCCCCCAAAGCATTCTTTAAGTCATATCTTGCAATATTTTTAAGATATTACGATTTTTCACTCTGTAAATTAAATTTAACTGCTTTCACCAACTAAAGAGCAATTATTTTTTACCAAAAGAAGATCTAATGAAATTAAAATAGTTAAAAAAACTTATTCCCAAACTAAAGAAGTTAATTTGAGTTTTAGTCAAAATGTTCTCAGAAATCAGAATTTTAGGCAAAAATTGCAGTGTATACTTGACAATCAGATTTCAAAGTTGATTTGCACTTTTTTCAGGTTTACCAATTAACCTGGTATTTAAAGGCAAAAATGACTTTGAAATATTTCAAGACTAAAGCTTTATTTAAATAAATACCAAATATGCTATCTAGAAGCACAGAAAGTCAGGTTCAGTCATATGTAACCTGGGCAATAGTTTCACAATACTTGAATTCTCATTTGCTTGACTCCATGGCCAGAATATTGCCCAGAGTTGTGTTGAAAATTTGGATAGTTGTCAGATTTGAAACAAGATCTTCTGTTGCACAATACTTGAAGGCATATCTAAACTCAAAATTAATAATTTGCAGATGAGAAAATGGTGAAAAATTGGCAAGGCTCCACTTTTTTTAGGAAATTCAGTTTTAATTTTTCAGCCATAGTTTGGATCATCTTTGGGAATTGCAGTATTGTTCACTGAAAAGCTCTTTCTGTCACCTTTAAGGTTCAAAAGACCATTACTTTCCAAATCAAGTATCCTTTTGTAGATTTAATTTTCATTTCTTTTCATTTAAAGCTTCTAAAAGTCTATCTCAATCGTTATGAACCAGAAAATCATCTTGAAAGTTTCAAAACTCACACCCTAACCGGTCAGGAAGTTTACATTCAGTCTCAGTCTTGGGGCATTTGTTTGCTGACATCGTTAGTGTGCACAATAGGATTAGGAAGCATGTTCACATTATTGAATTTGGGTATCTGAATTTGCTAGCTATGTTACAAAACTCCACATCCATTCTAGTACAGACTTTTGCTTATCCATCCTGATATTAGTCTTTAGGTAGTGCTGTCCTATTTTCCAACTCTGTGTATTCCTTGAATGTGTGGATCCCTTTGAACAGCTCTGCAATATATGATTTTTGAACTTTGCAGAACATTGGTGAGGTCTGCAGTCAAGGGAAGCAATCAATCAAGATGGCTTAAGAGACAGCAAACCGTAAGCAAGCAATTTATTTCCATCATAAGTGTTTTATATTTTGTCTTCATGCATTGCAATAATGTAACAGAAGTGTGGTGGTTCATGTGGTTGGGCTGAAGTGGTGATTTTTTATTTTTACTCTCCTATAAAACCATAGCCCTATCTGAATAAGTACTTAAAAATGGAGTTACTCATGTAGCCCATTCCCTATCTGATTGTCTGGCCGAGGGTCCTCCTGAAAAAAGGACTATTATTGGTGACTGAGGAACAGTACAGCAGCTTGAGTCAAAGAGGTCATCTGAGTAAAGTTAAAAATTCATGTGATATTTGGTTAGATACTTGCCATGATGTTTTCATTTGTGTTCAATACTCATCTAAGATATTGTAGAGGTGATGGGTCAGTTTTGATTTTTGGTTATGTTGATGTTGTGAATAAGTCATTATATGATGCAGGTGGTTCTTTACATGTGTTTCAAAAGACTGTTCCTAGTTAATGTATCAGATTTTAAATTTGGGTCATTTTATGAATTAGGTTAAGTCATTTTTAGAGACAAAAGAGCTTTTGAGGACAATCAGACTACTTCATCAAATGTTGGATTAAGTACAATGTTGTGCAAATAAGCAAGCACATTTTAATTTATCCTTTCTTTACATAGGATTTGTATGTAAAAAGGGCCCATAAGGACAACTATCGCTGTCGAAGTGCTTACAAATTGATTGAGCTCAATGACAAGTTCCACTTCCTTCAACCAGGAAAAGTTGTGATTGACTGTGGTGCAAGCCCAGGTATAGAATTAACAGTTTTGTTATTCTGGAGCATGTTATGATAATTTTTTGATGAGTGATTGATCTTAACTTTGTGGTTAGGTTCTTGGACTCAAGTGGCTGTTGACAGAGTGTTATCACAGAAATCTGGTTGGTACTCCAAGTCTTCTTAGTTGCTTTAATGTATGGAAATAATAAAATCTCTTAATTAGAGCAAGTGCTATAGCAATGCATAACAGAATTTAGAGGTCTCATACAAAATAGCATACAAAATGATAGGGTGTCATTTGAATAAAAGGATTTAAATAGTGTGGTAATTTGGTGGGAAGCTCTAAAATGGGGCTGATATTTTACAATGACACTCTCAGGAATACCCCTTATTATTGTTTATTATTATAATGCTTATTGACTTTTTGACAGGTTACCAACATGGAGCTGTAATATCTGTGGATTTACAAGGTATAGAACCATAAACCAAATATCAAGTTCCTGAAGAAGATACTGCAGAGTTCAATCTATATAATAAGCTGCATCATGCACACATTGTAATTGGTTGTTACTTATGACCTATTGGAGCACAGACAGATTGACGATGTCACCATTCACAATTTTTGCTTCTTTACTGTGTAAAACAAACAGATTCCATGTTGCAGTGGGTCTGTTCAGGAATAGATCACAGAGGCATCAAAATGTGGTAAGAATATCAGTTACACTCTCAACTGTGCCTTGTGTGCCATATTTTGTTCTTACCACATTTTAATGTCATGTGTAATCTATTAATGAATAGACGCACGGCAACATGGAATCTATCATTTTGTGAAACTGATAATGAAAAATGCTATTAAGCAGTTATTGGATGAGGTTGAGCATGATATTATTAATTGTCAAATGAATGCAGAGGTCTGAGTTACATGCCAAGGCTGAAGGCTGAGGCAGATAACATAGACACTAGGTTTCATGATTCATGATGTCATACAAAAAACAGATTCAATAATTGTCTTATCATACATTTTTCAAACAATCTGCAAAAGAAGATAGTTCTGTCTGAGTTTGCAAGAGTTCACAAACACTACATGAAAGAGGGTTTCCTAGAAAAACTGGATCAAGATCACCGGATCACCGGATCACCGGATTACTGGATTACCGGATCAAGGATTAATTAAGGAGGAGATGACAACGAATCCATATTGACAGTATTTTCAGTAAACACAATACTCAAATTAGAAAGATAACAGCCACAGGAGTTGTTTCCAACCTCAGCACTGCAAACAAATGACATCACAGATTTTCACTCTGATGTGCGAATGACTCGCAGCCAGTTGTCTGTTTGGTGTTAGTTAACTCATAAATGTGACTTTTTCATTTAACTACTTTTTCACAAGCAGATGGAATATCCAGCTCAATGTCTAAGAGAAAACCTGGGAATTATTTGTTAGATTGACTAATGCTTGGGTGGAAATGCAAAGAATTGGAAAATAATGACGATTTTGTTTTCCCATGGCTGTGTTTACAAATGTTTTGGTGCAGAAAAAGGTTTGCATGAATGACAAAAAAAAAATTCTCTTTTCATTTCTCTGGTGAAAGAATAAAATTACAAAAGTTTGGATTGTCTTTTAAAATGAAAGTCCCCAAAAACTGCACTAGAATCAAGAATAGACAGTTTGCTATATCTTCGTATCTCACTTGTGATCAAGCGTTCTTGAGGGTAGCATTAAAGTCGGCGGATGGGGGAAGGGCAAAAAAACGAAGCCTGTCTGTCAACAGTGGTGTTATCTTGTGTTATGCTCTATCAATCACCAAAAATCATTGTGGCTAGCAGAAAACGTGATTTATATGTATACTACAAGGGGAATGTCGTCACCGAAATCATCCCAGTTTTCGTAAGCATTGCTGCTTTTGCAAACCATGCTCAACTGTTAGTGCAGTTCCCCTGTTGAAACTGAGGAGAAACAGAGAATCGGCAATTGTCAAAGTCCTTAATTTTATCAGAAGTGATCAAAAGTGTGGGAGTAAACTTTCTGCCTGCCGTGCTTATTTGTGGCAAAATAAGAAAAAACAATTCTTCCTCATAAGTCTTCAGTTACTTTCTTTAACTTTCTTTTTTCTTTCTTGTGCAAGACTGAGAACTGATTCAATTCTCCAGTGTGTGGTCTTGAGATTTTTGACTTGTTGCTTCCGTTTATACTCCAGAGGACTCACAACAACAACTCAGTGGACCAATGAAACTTTATCACTTTCCAAATCAATGGTCAAGTAACGTCTCTTGTCAAATCCCATCATATAAACAACTAAAGCATCTTCTTCTAAGCTAGTGTTTCTTCAGATGCATTCCATCTGCTTTTCCTTAAAGGATATGTGGTCAGTAAAAAAATTGAAGAGATGAAGTTAAAGCAGCCAAAAATTTGCTATGTACTCCGGCAGTTGCCAGAAACGGCTTTGTGTTTTGAAATTACACTGGAAGTCAGATATGCAATGACATAATGACATTCAAAATGATTTGGAAATTTCATGTGAAAATAGCATATGCAGAGGTGAACCGGCTCTGAAGCTGTCAGTCTTCAATAGCTGTCCTAATAGTCGGTAGGCAAAAACTAGCACTTTCAGAAAGTGGTATGGCTTTTTCAGTATTTTAATATATTATATTTTATTTGTGCTGATTTCGTTTGTTCTCTCTCATTTTCGCTTGAGCATACAAGAGATCTTGATTAAGTCACATGAGGGATCAATCAATCATGCCCATTAAGTTATTTCATTTATTTGAATCATTTTGAACTGACCCTTGATCCTTGATCCTTGATCCAGTGATCCTTGATCCTGTTTTTCCAGGAAGCCCATCAAAGAAGGGCCTTGGAAACTATGTGGACTTTGAACTTGACCTGATAACCCATTATTTGCTGCTTAAATTGGGTTATCATGTCAATTAATTTCACACACTACTGTATTGTGAGTGAGTGCTCTGGACCAATCAGAGTTTTCATAGGAAGTCTAGCATAAGATAATTCTTGATATTATGCCCAACCTCATCCAACAATTGCTATATTGGGATTTTGCTGTTTTAAACATATTAAAAATGTTCACTTGCTGTATGTCTTAGACAACCAATAATGTAAATCAGTTTTCTATGCCTCTGTGTATTGTTAATATACCATTAATATATTGGTCTGTTTGGTCATATAATGTGACTTCCTCTTCCATTTTCATTGCTTATTTGATATACTAAAGACATTGAAGACATAGATGGAGCAACTATATTTTCAAGATGTGATTTTACGAGCACAAGTACACAAAAGAGAATTCTTACAGTATTGCCTTCATCTGGTGCTGATGTTATTATGAGGTACATCAAAACCATTATGGAATGTAAAAAAAGAACAAAAATTCTCAAGAGTAGAGTATTTATGCTACAGTTAACATCTTCTCTCTATTTGTGATATGTCCCCTTAATTTCAGGTTTTATCAAGAGGGAAAATTTGTCAAATGTTGAAAATTAGTTCTCAATGTGAAAAAAAAAAATCTACCTCTAAATCTATCTCTATATAACCACCTTCTTGAAAGGAAATGAAGTAGGATTGTTGTACACCTTGGCAAGGCATTCAAAGTAAGGATAAAGAGGGCCACTTTGTCTGAATTTATTTTTCAGTGATATGGCTCCAAATGCAAGTGGAAACCACACAGTGAATCATGAAGCTATCCTGGTAATTATTTGATTATTTAGAAAATGTCAAATCATTTTTTGAGCATAATCACTAACAGGCAGTCACATCAGTCAGACACTCCCTAGTGTCTGCCTGTCGAAGGGTGTCTGCTGAACACCAGTTGATGAAATGTACAATTGTAAATGTTGTGCACAAGATGTCCTAACACTTAGGCTGCTGGACTTCAGGTTTAAGATCTGGCAATGTCATTGTACTGTGTTCCTAGGCAACACACTCCATACTCACAGTGCCTCTCGCCACCCAGTAGTATAAAAGGGTACAGGCAAAGAGTCAGGAAGCCTGATCAAATGTGTAGTGGTAACCTGTGCTGGACTAGCATCCCATCCAGGGGGGGGAGTAGCAGTATTCTTAGGAGCTTCACACTATGAAGACTGGGGTAAGCTGTAGAACCTTGTTGGTTGCTTATATGGTGGGGAAGCTTTTGTTTATTCCCCAAAGTAAGGCTTTCCACAAAGACCTGGGATTAATTGAAGTTTGAGAGGAGTCATTACAAGATATTTAAGCAACTTAAGATTATTTTCAATTTAAATTAGCATTAATTTTGTAACTTTTTTGGCTAAACCCTGTGTTTCTCTCTGTTATCACTGAAACAATTTTCAGTTATTTGCCAGAAAAATTCAGTCTACAATTTCCCACTTGAATGAAATATTCTCCATTAATGAGAGCAAAAACATTTTCCCAAAATGGGAGATGTGGCTATATCAACAAGCCTTAACTTCCTTTTCCACAAAAAATTATTCGGATACTTTTTCACCCTCAACACATGTTAAAATTTTGGCTCTAGTGATTCAAAAATATCATAAGACAGTTAAAAACTGTTCTGTGAGAATTTTAGTAAGGATATACATGTAATAGCAGCTTTGCATGAAACCCACCATGGTTTACTTACCAGCAAAATAAGTCTACTTTAGAATTTAAGGAAACCTAAAATAGTTTGAATTATCAGCAAGCTATAATAATAATAATAATAATAATAATAATAATAATAATAATAACGAATTTTTATACAGGATTGAAAAACCCATCAGTGTGTAACACTGTTGTCCTTGGGGTCCTGTCAAAAATAATAAATAAATAAATAAAATAAAATTTAACAAGATATAATCATTGATCTTAAGGTCTAGAAAAGCATACAATAAAATGAAAAAAAAAATTAAAAATTAAATAAAAATGCTCTGAAAAGGATACCTATAACCACGTTTAGATAGAATTTAACTAAAATAATCTCGCAATTTGTTCTTAAATTTCAGTCTCGAATCTAACGACCTTAGTTCAGCAGGCAGGTTGTTGAAAGTCTTTGCTCCTTGGTAATAGAAGCTCTTTTTACCAAATTCTAAACGAACTTTGGGTAATTTCACTGATATACCGTTATTCCTAGTGGCCTTAGAATGAACCAGCCTTTCGAAGTAGTTCTTAAAGGGTGTGCAAACATTATTCAGGAGACAGTCGAAAACAAACAGACAGCTTTTACGCTTGATCAAATTGTTCACGGATGGGGGATTAAAAGAACTATTGCCGATAACTTTAAAGCCTCGTCGTTCGATGTTCTTTATCATTTCCTTTCGGTAATCCGGAAAACTAAGACCAAGTGTTCCGCAATAGGTAAAGATAGGTGCGATCATAGTGTTATAGATCGATTCTGCACACTTTTGGTCGATCAAAGGACGAATTGATCGCAAGAGATTGATTCTGGTTGCAGCTTTTTTATAGATTCGGTCAAAATGTGATGCGAGGTTTAGTGATGAGTCAAGGTGAACACCTAAGTACTTATAGGTAGAGGTATTATTGATGAGTGACCCATTAGCAGAAAGTTTAAGTTCCTTGTCTTGAAGGTTGATTCTTTTAGCTGTTCCAAATAACATAGACTCCGTCTTGTCCTTTTTTAGGTTAATGATCAGTTCGTTGTCTTTAAACCACTCGCACAGGTTATTCATATCCTCGCTAAGGCTTCTCTGTATAGTATCAATATCTTTAGAAGAGGTATAGATGACTGAATCGTCGGCATAAGTGATAATCTTCGAGTGTTGAAGCGGTTTATGTACATCGTTGAAAAAGATAATGAATAAGATAGGACCCAGGATACTTCCCTGAGGAACACCTGTGAGAATGGGTTGAGGTTCTGATAGCACGCCTTTATATTGGACAACTTGTGATCTGCAGAAAAGGTAATCAGTGAACCATGCGAGTTCTGTTCCACGAACTCCGTAAGTTGAAAGCTTGCTCAGGAGGCCAGAGTGACTGATGGTGTCAAACGCCTTGGATAGATCGATGAAAACACAGCCTGTCAGGTTACCATTCTCACCTTCTCTTCTGATAACATCGGTAAGATGAGTAACGGCCAGTTCAGTAGAGCGCATGCGACGGAAGCCGTACTGAAAATGAGAAAGTAGACCATTCTGTTCAAAATGAGCCATCAGCTGCTTAAATACCACTTTCTCCAGGATCTTTGACATTGAAGGAAGTATTGAAATAGGCCTATAATTGTCGATTTCGGCCATTGAACCAGATTTAAAAAGTGGTACAATTTTAGCCGCTTTCCAGTCAGTAGGTACAGACCCAGTTGCGAGAGACAGGTTAATTATATGCGTGAGAGGCTTGGCTATTATATCAGCAGAGTCCTTTAACATTCCAGAAGGAAAGTTGTCAAGGCCAGAGGACTTATTTCTCTTAAGGCTCTTTAATGCATTAAAGACAACCTTTTCCGAGACTGATCTAAACTCAAAGTTCTCTAGCGGCTGCTGGGTGTCTATTGTAAGGGGCCTTTTCCAGACAAAATTGCAAAGAGGGAAGATCTTTCTTTTTAGAGATCGCGCAACATCAGTGAAGAATTTGCAGAACAAATTTGCAATAACCTCTTTGTCGGTTTCTATTGCTTCATTAACGAGAAAAGCTGCTCCTGGTTCCTTTGTAGACTTTGTAGGGTATAGTTTTTTAATAGCTGACCAAAATTTGTTAGGTGAACCCACAGTCTCCTCTAAGAGTTCACGGTGATACCTGCTTTTGCAATTTTTTACCATACCGTTAACTTTGTTTCGTTGGCGCTTGTACGAAGACCAGTCAATTTCACGATTTGTCTTTCTCGCTTTTCTCAAAAGCTGATCTTTGGTATTCATTTCTTGCTTTACCTTCTGTGTAAGCCATGGGCTGAGTTTCCCTTTGATCCTCTTCTTTATAGCTGGCGCATGCTTATCAATACATTCTTTCAAAATGGCTTTCAAAAAAGACCATGCTTCATTAACGCAGGAGGATTTAAAGACAGGTGTGAAACTATTGGACCGTAAATCATTGCAAAAGGATATAGGATCATAATTAGCATAGTTTCGACAGGTGATGGTTCTTGGCTGGAATTTATGGTTATGCAGCTTCCGGACACAACCAATCATATCATGGTCACTTAAGCCGGCGGGAATGACTTTAACACTATAAACATTCTGAGGGCGATTTGTGTAAATCACATCTATCAGTGTTTTTGAATCTTGCGTTATATCATTGTGAAAGCCAATATTGATGATTACAAATTTTTCACCAAATTTTGTTGTCTTCAGGGTCTGTGTGAGTCAGCCTTGGATTTTAGCAAATCAGTTTTGAGGCCTGGTGGGATTTTTCTTTGTAAACTATGGGATGGATATGGTACAAAAGGTAATTGAGAAGTTTTTTTGGTAACTGTAGTTGATTGCACAAATGACCAATATGACAACTGAGGGTTACTAACTTACTGATTTTATAGTGCTTATAACAACTTCACGTAACAGAGAGCTCAGTGAAAAAATAGAGGATTTCTTACCTCAAACTTGTTTATCTGAAATTTTTGTTGCTAATGGTATTCAGGCAATCTTTCTTTTGTGACAGTTATGACACACACACACACATGTAGACATTTAGTAAGTGAAGTAGGTGAATTCCAAGTACCAGTGGTATCATTATCATATCATTATCTTCAAGAGCAAGCTAATGGTATCACAGTTTACTTAACCATCTCAGGTATTCTGTCATTCAGTTTAGCTTTATCACTTTAACCAAAACATAAAAACTGCTCAGTGTCTTGAGACATCTGAATTAGCAGAAAATAAAAATCATCATTACTACCTTAAGTAACTATCTGTGAAAACCATCGGAACACAGGGTATTGTAAAAAAACAAATATATTAATTAAGAAATGTTTATGTCTAAGTTGGGGTTTAATTTTTCAGATTTTATCAATACACTGGAAAAAAATTTCCATCAAGTTCAGAAATGTAAACCTCAAGCAAGCAGAAGGGAATCAGCAGAGATTTATCTTTATGCAGAAAACTTTAAAAAATAAGAAAAAACTTTTTTTTCCACAGACCTTTATTGCCAGTCACTCAAATAGGTATTACATCATGCCCCTCACATAATTTGGAACTTACATTTATACACACTCAATTCCGCATGCACCAAAACTGGTTTAACCTATGCAATTAGTGGTGATGGAGAAAAACTGAAGTAATAGATTCCAACACTTTATATTCACCCAATTGACTGTCACCTACAAAACAAGAAAGTATCAACTTGTTCACTGAGTTTGCTGAGTCTTTCACCACCATGAGGGACCAAGACATTATTTATCCTCACAGTATTGATACAATATCAAGCAGGCAAGTGACTAGGGAATTATCACTGATCCAACACATAATTCTCAGTACAAACTTTGTAAGAAATATATGGCAGACAGAAAGGAGAATTTTCTTTGAGATGGTGGCAGTTAATGGGTTATATTTAATTGATAAAAGATGTAGTTATCTTTATTTTGAAGTGGAAAAAAGAAACTTGAAATAATGTTTTTGAGAACTTGAAATGCGTTCAGTGGAAACTCTAGGAGGGGGAACACCCTTTGTTACTACAAAAACTGTTCCAAATTGACATCCCTTCAGTGATGGGTTGACAGATACAAAGATAACTGCAATATTTTTCAGTTGCTACTTAAGTTTGCACTTCCACAAACTTAACAAACTGAGACAAGGTGTTCTCTAAAAAGAGGAATCTGAAGAGAGGTTCCACCTAGTTACAGGTGTAAGTGTATTGTACTGTGATGATGTATGCTGTTTGTGAAAGTATGCTACCATAGTTAACTTTGCTGGAATCCTCTAAGGTTTTCTTTGGCATGTGTCTTTGTCTTCTGGTAATTCAAACTGAACTTCCTGATCTTCATTGTGAAAGTACACTTTGCATGATACAAATATCTTTATAACATAGCTAGTAAATTTGTCCAATTAAATTCAATTATGTGAGCGTGCTTCAAATTCCTATTGTGCACACTCATGACATCAGCAAACAAATCCCTTGAGAAAAAACATTTTCATTGTGATTTTTTACTTTGGAATTTTACTATTAAAAAACTGGTCAAGACTCCGGCAGCAATTTAAGCTAAACATGGAAAGTTGTGAGCTAGCTCAAGAAGCTAGAGTTGCTCTCAGCTACGCCTTGAGCAACTCTTACGCATCTTTCATGCTCTCTAAACTTCCTGCATGCTTCATATCTTGATGAACACTCACTGATGTATGAACCAATTGCTAAACATTGGTTTGGGTTGGGTATCGCAGTTGTGTAACAACCAGTTTAAACAAACTGTTGCACAATAAGGAAAGAAGCTGGCATAATTTTATAGCAGCTTTCAACCTTTGGGGAATACTACTGTATTTTCCAGAATAAGCACCTACCCCCTTGGCAATAATGTCAAACAAGTGCTCCTCTCCAGTCCCTTCCTGTCTTAATAAATAGTGGAGATATAAGGAAACCTGTTTCTATTGCCACAGGCTTCATTTATAACTTTCCAGTTTTATCTACAGTGGAATCAGCGATGGAAAATAAGAAGAGCCACCTCAGATAAGCACCCTCCTTTCAAACCAAATTCTAAATAATTGCCCTGGCGCTTATTTAAAGGAATAGAGTATTTAAAATTTCCCAATTCTCCAGGCATGAATAATGATATTGTAGTAGTGCATGACCTTGGTTTTTCAAGTCCTGTAAAAACCTTGCAACAGTTTACACTTACATGGGGAAAAACATGAACAACTAGGATTTCATAACATACTGTTTAAACTTTTCAAATGATTTGGTAGAAGTTGCACCCTGTGCACTTAGATTAAGATATACAACTTGAGTTCAAACATAACAATTTTATTCATAAATCTGTACAAACTGCATTAAGATATTCTTAATAAATATTCTACAAGTAACTGAATTTGAGGGTAAATAAAAAATAGTTTCTTTTAAAGAAATGTTATAGTTTTTGATACAAAATATCATAGTGACCAGGCCTGTATAGTAAATTAACCAAAGGCTGGGACCCATCTTCTGGAAAGTCATGATGATTGACAGACGAGTTCCCACCTCTGTCCATATAGACAACACGCACACAAACACCAAGTGCATCAGTCAAAGCTATGATATGAATCTGATCACTTTCTTTGGCCATAGGCTCGACTTCCTGAAGATTAGTAAAAACAAGGATTATTTGTAAGTCTCTAGATGGTTCATGGTCATTAGGTAGAATTGTGGTCCCCTGGATGGATTTTATATACTGCATGTCTTTTCACATGTGTTATCTGCCCCAGACCTCAGGTTTGATAATTCATGATATCATGCTTAAGCTCTTCCAGTAATTGGTAAATATCATGAGACAAAACAGAATGAGCTGGTTTTGAGCTATACCCACAATCTGTATCATTCTTTGTGTATCTAATCATTTCACCATGAGTGACCAAGATATAATTTCTCCTTACAATATCATTACAATGTCAAGCAGCCATATGATAAGAATAATAATATTATCATTTGATCCAACACCTAATTCTCACAAGAAACTTTATAGGGGATGTATAAGGAGAATTTCATTGAGATGTTGGAGGTCAAAGGATTGAGAGGAGAAGGGGTGTCAAGATAAAACATCAATAATAAATATATGTTTATTACCTGGCTGCGGAATTCTTGTACTGTCCTTCCTCCCTCAATAAAGTTCTCAAAAAAATCAGATTTCTTTTGAAGTTGTGCAGATGTTAGGAGTCGTAAATACACAACAATATAGTTTGAAAGTCCTTCATCTTGAAATGTCTGAAAAGGCATTAATACACAAAACACCATTGATTTAAAAGAAATACATACATTGGCACATTTACAAAGTATTAGGAGTAGAACAATAGTATTAAAGTTACAGTGCATAAAGTTATATGTCAAAAATTCTGTGATCATCAGGCATTATAACTCTAGAAAGGTATTCATCCACAAAAAACGTACATATCAACATTAATGATCTACCATGGAAAATAACTGGTTGTATAGACAGAAACTAACACATTCAGTAGAAATTAACACTCCCTACCTCAGAGATTTTGCATTGTACAATTTTTTTGGGAGTGCATTCCTGCCAATCTTACACAATCTCTCACCCTTAGAGGAAGCAACATGTGTTTTTCTTCTCTTTTTAAGTATAACTTTAGCATATCACTTAAAAACTTTGAACAGGCTTGATACATGTAATCATTTGTTAGAACATTTAAGATACACAATGAGAATTTTTACCTGTAATAATTCTTCCACAGACTGACTTTTTCCAACAGCTTCAATTGTTTCCATGAACTAAATTGGAGCCAAAGAACCCAGTTTAAAATTTTCAGATAGTAAAATTGCAGGAAAAAAACAAGAAACTATGAAAATAATAGGTTCTAGGGAGTGCTACATCTAAGGGCTAGAGCCATGTTTCCAGAGAAAACAGTGCAGACAAGAAATGATAACAAAGTATATCTACATGTAATACCAACTTACTACCCAAATCAAACCAGTGTCAAAGAAGAGGAAGGTTAGTGCCCTAACTAAAGTGCCATTCCTGCTCCATTCTTACCTGAGGATACAGTCTCATCCACTTGCATTTCAGAGTCGTGACTCATGAGCACACATATTAAATCATAACACATGAAAAGTGTAGAAACTTACAATTTGATGAAAGTCCTCTATTGTAAATGATGGGAATCCCATTGAAACAAGTTCATCTTTACTTTGTGAAGCTAATGTTTTAAATCTGTTTTCAATGGAACAGTAAAGAACATAACATTAATGAATATTGCCCACAACAGCCTTGGAACTTCAATACATGATGGTTGGATGAAGGAAAAAAACTCACAAATGATATCAAATTACAACTAAGTTATCTGGATTTTCATTGACACATTTAGCCACAGGAGGATAGGGAAAGGTCTGAGGTCAAGTCCTTGCATGGGAATGAGTTAAGCTCAAGGTCAATTAAGATATTTCCCTCACAATAGTGTGGTACCGCCCAGATGTGTAAAAGGCTGTTGACAAATTGTAAGGGAAACTTGACGATAAATCAGAAGAGGAAGAGCACAGTGCAGACAAGTGTTCAGCTAGGAGGAGTAGCAACGAAACTCTTTGTAGCATCATGCTTTGTAAAAAAGCACAAACTTTGGCAGAAATGGGCCCCTAAGCCAGAATGGAATTTAGAGCCTTTCTAAATTGCTCCTATCAAAAAGTTACTTCTCCCAGAGTTTGTTATTTTAGTTAACTAAAATAGCAGCAGTAGCAGCTGTAGAATAGTGACCACTTACCAGGGTACACATCTAATAGCTTAAAATTAAATTGGTTTCAATTAATGGCTATTTTAAAAAGTATGAACTAAAATCATAAATGAACTGTTAAATATAGGGGAAATATGACTACAATGGTGGTGAAATAAATAGAAATACACTCAACAGCAGGATATGAAAAGATCCTTTTCCTCCAAGCAGAGTTGATCATCTTGAAATTATGATGTCCTTTGAATTTATTTCTCTTTGATTACCTGTCAAATTCTAATTGATTGCCAATCAGTTCCTCAAAGTAGGCAAATCCAAAGGCTCTATAGAAGCAGTTACCATCACCTCTAGTCTTCCGCACATGTGAGTAATTCAAGCTTAGATCCTAAAGAAGGAAGTTTACCTGTCATCTCATCAAGGAAAATATTCCTCACTGATCCATACCTTTTTCAAGGACTAACAACTAAAAACATAATCACACTGTCTGCCCTGTTCATTATTATAACAAGCAAAGATTTGGTCTGATTCATCTCAATTTAGATCGCATTGTAGCATGTGTGGCAGCTACTCCCTCCACCATTTGAGGAGAGGAGGCTGACCGAGGGGCTGACTGAATGGCTGGCTGAAGGACTGACTAAGGGGCTGACCGAAGGGCTGACTGAGGAGCTGACTAAGGGGCTGACTGAAGGGCTGACTAAAGGGCTGACCAAAGGGCTGCCTGAAGGACTCATAGCATAACAATGACTTTGTACTCTTTCAAAATATTAAACTTTATCACTTTCTTTGACTGTTTCCTGGATGATTTTTAATTTTTCTGTGACCATCCATTGTGAAGTTGGTTTCAGGAACCATGTAATAATGGTGTTTTTTAAATTTTTTTAATGATATGATATTTTTGAAAAAATTATCATATAATTTCACTAATTTTTTTTTTTATTTTCCACATCCCACACTCAAATTCAAGGCCTATAAAATTATACATAAGAAATCCAGGTTTAAAAGACTAGCAATTCATCTACATGCAGAGGGCACAATTGAAGAACCTAGAGATTCACCCCAGGCTCAAATAACATAACTTTCAAGTCTTTTAAGTACTTGATAGCTTGCTAGTATACTCTTGATTACCTTTATTTTTGTTTGGTATACAAAGTCATCTATAGCATATTCCTTTTGTAAAAAGTTGATATCCAGTTTATCACCAACAAGTGGTTGAATTTGTGCTATCTAGACAAGGAAATAAGATAGATTGTTTGAAAAAATGGATGTCATTCATTTTTGAGCAAGTATAGTTCTGAATACCAGGGAATCCCTCAAACCCCTTAGAGGAGGCTTAAACCCTGACCAGGGTATTTGAGTCAAATGAAAGATTAGTTCATTGTCCAGATGCCATGGTACAGTTATATATAGAAATATAGCCTTCTATGAAAAAATTCATTGAGCAATATGTACATATTGACTTGTGGACAGTTGAGACATTCATTATCAATAATGAAACATCTCTTTGACTTTAAAGCTAAATTATTTTTATCATGGTAATGCCATCTCCACCCTCTCTCCCATCAATACATTCTGGCCTCACACCCTAAACTTAACTCACAGATGAAAAGCATGGGCTGGTGTGAGGGGAGAATAGGAAAGCATGTCCAAGAAATTAAGGTAGGATGTCTTGAAATTATTAGAGTTCAAGGCCTGATCTTGTCTGAACAAGTTTTGACCTTTATTGAAGTTAAAACCAGTAATACCTCTTTTTGAATGTTGTCAACTTGGGCCATAATGGCTTCATCATAATTAGCTGCAACTAAAAGAGCAAACAATAGAATGATAGGCAGTGTAATTCTTATAGCATTGAACAGAAATTGAGGTTGTACATTGACACTAGAGGGTTGTATTGCAGAATATTTGCTAGAAAAAAATTATGTGACCTTAAATTAAAATACCAAAAGTATTGTCAATTAAAAGTGATAATGTAATGGGAAGAGGTGATAAATACTTAAACCTTGAGTAACAAAATGGTAAGATATCTGTTTGAAAATCTGAGGCAGAGAATTAACAGTCTCAGTCAAAACAACTTCTCTGAATTACAGTTGGGTTACTTAGACTGTTGCAATTTACTCAATAATATTTTTTTTGACTTTCAAATCCTAATATTCTCAAAACAAAGTGATCATAGAGGAGTTTCCGTGGTCACAACAGAAACAATATCAAATCTATTGACAACACAAATCTCTCCTTTGACAATTGTTTTATCAATTATGTGGTTATTATTCCATTTCTCTTTTCTTCATGTACATTCTCTTTTCAATTCTTTAAATCCTTGGTTGTTCACATGCTCCATTGCATTTATGGAGCCATAGATTCTCTTTAAAACTACCATAGATACTTAATTCAACTTCAAAGCTAAGATACTTCCTTTGTTGTTTGCATGCTTCATACAATACAAGGGACCACAACAGGCAAAAAGAGTATGCGAGAGAGTGAGTAATTCGTTGATGATCTTGAATCGAGTGCTGTAATTTGTTGGCCAAAGTAGAAATTGACTTCTAACCTTATATTACTATCATATATCGTTTGAGTGCATAAATTTCTTATCTTAATGCCAGTTTCCTGATATGGAAGTCTCCATCGAATAATTCTTGATAAAAAATTTTATCATTTCCAGAAATTCCAAAATAAGAAACCAAATTTCAACAACATTCTCTCTTATAATTCGAGACAAGATCGCACTTTCAGCCAAGGGATAAACGATTTGATTGAGACACTGAGAATCGATAGTAGCTCTAAATTTAAAAATCCTGATTTAGCGGGGTGTATGTTTGAAACTTACATTAATTCATGCATGTGATAATTAAATTGTCATATACATGAAAAACAAAACACCGACTGTGAGACTGGCTCAGGACATAACCAAGTGACAGATGATATCGACCAGTTTCACCTGTGATAATAAATATCTTTTCAATTAAGATTCAATAAAACACCTAAAGACAGTGAAATAATTCATGATACTGATTGATACGTAAAGTTATATTATTCAGTACACTATGCACAATCCATATACCGTTTGTAAATGCACTCAAAACGGAAAAAAACACCAAAAGTCACTTCCTTACCATCGGACTGATCCGCCATGTTTCGCTGACTTGCTTGGTAACCACGCAGACTCGTCCCGGACTTCAGGGAAGTGCTTGGGTGCCAACAAAGCCGTACTTAAATTTCCATTTCACGTGAGCCGTTTGAGTCGCATTTTATGAGAGAATGTGTGCAGATGAAAAACATGTGTCTCAAAAATTCTGCCTGTTGTGAAAAAGGCAAATTTAAAATCACCTGTCAAGTTCTGACAGTCTGAGAAGACGTAAAAAACGTCTCCAAGAACAAAAACGAGTAAAGGCAATGCTAGGGGGATTTCCACAATTTAGTTCGCGAGTTCCAGCTCGGAGAAAGAGCATTTAATTCAGGTATGAGCTAAGCAAGAATGTTCATTTAAATTGCTTTTGTCTTAGGAAGCACCTTTTCGCTCTCATAGGGATGGGGAGGGGTTACAGAATACTACAGAAATGTAAAAATATCTTGTCTATTGGCATTTCAAATTATTTATACCAAGCAATCTAAATAGCGCGATTGACAATGTGGATGCCTTTATTATTTTCGACACGAGTCAACTTTTTTTTTTCCATTAATTCTGGTGTTTTAACTTTCTCATAATACATGAACAATCATTTGAGAAAATAAAGAATTTTAAAAGAAATTGACTTCAAGTGCTTGTAGTAAGGATGCAACATCCAAGCGGTGGAGAGTTCCATTGCAAAAGCAAATTTTGAGTGTTTTTGCATAATTTGTTTTCTCTCCATATTGCTGGTAGCCTCCGTGGGCCATATGACGCGAACCCTGTGTTCTGATTGGCTATCCGCGCGGACAAAATGTACCCATCTCACCCGCTCGGGATCGCCTGCTTTGATCCTGTACAAGGAAAAAATTGCATGGAGCGGACTTACAAACTTTGCAATATTTGAAAAATGTCGGCGATTAAGATGCAAAGAGCGAAAGAACACAGTCAAAACAAAGAAAACATAAGCGTCTGTCGTGAGTTTATTTGCTACAAACACAGTTGGCTTTCTTATCTGGCTCTTGAAATAAACAAGGCACTCTTGATTCTGAAAAATGCGAAAAAATTTTGTTACATAATAAATCCCTTATTGACCAAGCTTGTTCGGTCAAGATTGCTGGATAGTAGTCTCCTTCTTCTTTTTCTTTTTTTGTGAGCCCCGACTTTGTCTCAGTCCATAAGAATGCAAAAAACAGAGCTTGGGCAATATCTGGCCATCTTGAGTTCACGATTGGTCAATAACGCATAATTATTATTGTGATCGATGCAGTAAAAGGGATGGAAAAGGGCATCAAATATAACCAAGATCAGTCGCGCATAATGATGTAGTTGCTATGGCTTCCTCCACATCCTTTGTCCCCGCACCAGACAGTTTATTTTTCCTTGATTTTTTTTACATTTTAAACATCGGTTTCTGAGATTTTGGAGCAGCGTCATAACCGCTTTTGTCGTACGGAACGGGAGATTTCCTCTCACTTTCTGCAAGTCTTTCTTCTGACATGGCGGACGACGTTGACGCCGTCTTATTTTGAACTGTGCTGTGGTGGGACCGATGGAACCTCTCTTAGCATTTGCGTTTGAGTTGCCTCAGATCACACGTGTAGGTAGCGAACGTTAGCTCAAGAAAATGGCAACTTTACATTCCTTGCGTTGACGATTCCGTTTGCATTTGCATCGGCGTTAAGGTGGTCCACACGAGTATCTCCTTGCGTTTGCATTTTATCGGCGCTAGCGTTTGCATTTGCATCACACGCATGGACCAGACTTTATTCATAAGGGCACAATTATTTCCCATTTGGACCTCCTCTCCGGTGAAAATTTTTTAAAATTTTTTTTCTGCTAGTGACGCGAAAAAATTTCCGACCGTTTTCAGCACAGTAAAAAGCTCATTGGCTACTACCGCATGATTAACCAATCAGATTCGAGGATTTAAGACTCATCCGCTGAGATGCTTAAAAATTTCTTTCTACTAGGCACGCGCATTGGTGCATTGTAATATCGACGTCAAATTGACTTTATTTGTGATGTAAGAAAGTCTGCATACTGACTAGACTTCTTTACTTCAAGAGTTTTTAGGTGCCGCGGGTCAAGATGGGAAACTGTTTCTCGGAGTGCACTCAAAATGAAGGTAGTTCTTCCTCGTCTGGGAGAGAAAAGAATGCTAAAGGAAAAAGAAAAGGAAAGCGAACAGGAAAGAAAAAGAGTTGCGGCAACAAGAATTCTTCGGAGAATTCTCCATCCTTAAGGCGAAAGAATAGCCTTTCAATTACCTCACTACAATCCATCAGTGATGGCGATACTGGGGAACAAAGTGAGTCCACAACCGAGGGAAATCAAGGAAACATGAACTTAACAGTCACTGGCCACGCTATTCCAGTTCTAGCGAAGCAATCGAGTCCCGAGATTGAAACGACCGAGTCCAATACCAAGATAATTGTCGTGAAGACATTCACAACTGACGAGAATCCTTCCAACGATAGTATTGAGATAGAAGTCAGGAAACCCATCACCAGTAGCGAATCAAACGTCTTGTTATCACATTCGCCTGTCGTTGAACAATCGACGGGCAATGAAGAACTTGAAGAACTAAGTAATGATGAAGAAGCAAGAGCCTCCCCTCCTGCGCCCTGTCCATCAGGGGACCAGGAAGGCTATGCTCAAAAAAGCCATTTTCAGCTACTTGAGTTTCTTAAAATTCGTCTAGACATGGCGGCTAACAACATGGAAATGAATAGGTTACTAAGTAATGTGGACCGCGCATTGGACAGAGCAGCACGATCTCGTAAACTGGGATTTAAACGCATGCGTACTGCTGCAGAGCCAAGGCGAGCTGCTCGTGAAATTCAGGAAGAAACTGTTATTGAAGAAGAGGAGACTGAGACCGAGGACAGTGACGAAAGTGACGAGAGTTACGAAGAATACAATGATATAAATGACACCCTGTCCTCGCCTTCCCCTCCCCCGCCCATCCCAAGAATTTGCTGGCAGTAAGTGTTCAGTAAAACAAGTTCTCCTATACTGATGCCTCATTGAACTGAAAATGTGTGGTAAAACTTACTACGGTCATGAAGAACGCGGACAGAAGTGATGGATGCTCGCTGAAAGATGACAGGCGCAGGTGTCATGGTAAGACTCCTGTTATTTAATTTCTGTAACTTCATTGCCAGATTGGGGAATTGGAATTAAGGCAGACGTGGCTCTAAGCTATGAAATGCAAATTGATAGCGACCCTTTTTGTATTTATTTCAGTTGTAAGTGTCATAGGAAATAATGCCAACGGAACCAATAAAGGGTAAAAGTGAACTGTAATTTTACTCAAAAGAAAGTCTCAAAATTGCAATTACAAACGGCCCAAAAACGACTGAAAGATGATAGTGACAAGTTGACTTCTGCCCGTTGCCGTTTGAAGGAAAATCCATAGTTCACCTCCCCCATGACCTACGTTGTTACGAGACTTAGTCCCAACGAGTCTTCCCTCGTATTAATCACAGTTTAGAATTAGTGTCATCCATCCATCCATTTAAATTTCAGCGGGCGAAAAGTTTGACTACTTCGCCTTCTTCGTCTATTTATTACACGACCTCTTTTATTAGTTTGGGGGCCGATGGGGGGTGATTTTATTATGGGCAATGGGCCTGCTCGGTTAGCTGAAATATACCCACGGTAATAGCGTAATCTCGTGCAAGCAGGCATGGACCTTGCAACGTACAACGGTACATGTGAGGAGTTTTTCAAAACTGATCCTAATGATTGGAAGATGTGTGTAAGTGAATGATTTATTGCTGAGGGCATCAAGTAATTCATTATCAGGCATTTTTCACAATAAAACTCTTATCTTTTGCTGACTGCGGCATCTTGAACGAACGAGTAATCGAGCTAAACGATAGATCTGTGAGAAGAGAACCTCGTAGATATTTTATTCTACCAATATGCACCAGAGGCTTTACTTATGAACAAAACACAATAAATTTTTTCCGCCACATCGGAACGCCACCATGAACCAGCCCATATTTACTAATATTACTACTGATCCCTTTCCTTTACAGCTACAAACCCTTGCTCTTCTGGTCACAGTTGCGATTATGTTTCCCTGAAGGGAAGCAGAGGTGAAACAACTTGTGCATGCTTTGCTAAGGAGGATCCGGTGTGTGAAAGAGAAAATCAACCATATTCTCTTGGTTTGTAGTAGTAGTGTCCGGTATCCCAATAATATTTCGCCGAAATATCCTCTATCCCGACAACCCTAATAGGGCCTCGTACTACGACCTCGAGCCAATCGTCGCCAGCACGGGCCTCATGCTCGGTTTGGTAGAGTTAGTGTTTTTATTTGTCGTTTGTATTTTGACTCACCCCGCGGGCTCATCAAACAACTGCGTGACTCGTAGCGATACTACACCCCAAAACATCTAATAGTATTTAATTATCGTACAAATTTAATACTCTTACAGTCTGGAAAAAAACGAGACAGCCACTAAGCCAGTAAGTGAGGAAACTTTTCAGTTTTCAATTCCAAGAGGTGTAGGTAAATCTGGTGTTCACCAGTGACCTCTGGGGCCACAAATCAAATGGAAAACATAATATTCACGGTGCCGAGTGAGTACGTCGCGATTACTTGCTTTAGAGCAGTGAGCGCACAGGGAAACATCTTCCCGGACTAGGGCAACAAACTCTTGTGGGTGAACTAGCTTGAAATTACTGGGCCAAGCGTTCTCTTACATTAGCCGGAAAATTATTCTTTGGTGGAATCAGTTCTAGTCAAATTGTTTTAAATTGCTCAGTTGTAAAAAAAACCTTCACGTTTATCTTGTTTAATTTTTCAGTTTGAACGAGATTATGACAAGGCCAGGCAAGTCTTTTCAAGAGAAATTGGCGTCTGTTGCAACAGATTTTTGCCGCGAGAACAGGACATGACGTGCAATCAAAGGAACACGATGGAACAGATGAACTACGCATAGAGGAAAAGGACAGCATAGCTTTCTGTGAGCCTTGTAGCCGATACCTCCAGTGCTTCTCTTTCCGGTTGTTTCTTCGAAAATTTGGCAGCCTCACCGATTC